TAGCACTCTCAGAGACCAAGATGGATAGATTGCCTCTGAGCTCACGAGTTTGAGACCAGCCTGAGCCAGAGTTAGACCCTGTCTCTAAAAATAGCCAGGCGTTGTGGTGAGTGCCTATAGTCCCAGCTACTTAGGAGGCTGAGGCAAGAGAATCACTTGAGTTTGAGGTTGTGGTGAGCTATGATGCCACAGCACTCTACTGCAAGCAAGGATGACAAAGCGAGACTCAAAAAATAAAGTAAAAATAGCAAAATTGGGCCATGCATATTGTCTCACACCTGTGATTCTAGTAACTTTGGGAGGCCAAGGTGATGTATGTACTTGAGGTCAGGAATTTGAGATCAGCCTGAGCAAGAGTCGGACCCCATCACTACAAAAAAGTAGGAAAAAACAGCCAAGCAGGGTGGCACATGCCTGTAGTCCCAGCTACTCAGGAAGCTGAGGCAGGAAGATGAAGCTCAGGAGTTTGAGGTTGCTATGAGCTAGGATCACGCCACTGCACTTTACCTGGGCCAACAGAAGAGGAGTCTTGTCTCATTAAAAAAAAGAAAGAAAGAAAGAAAGAAAGAAGAGAAAGAAATGAAATGGAAACTTGATAAAAGGAAAACAACCCATTTAAAAAAAAATCAGCAAAGACCAAAGAAAACATAAAGATAGCAAACACGTGAAAGAAAAGATGCTCTGTATCATCTGTCATCAGGAAATGCACAGTAAACCAAGATACCACTCCGTGCAGAACACTGACAACATCACGTGGTGGTGAGGAAGAGGAACAAGATGAGGAATGAATTTTCATTCATTGCAGCTGAGAAGGCAAAATGGTATAGCCACTTCGGAAGACAGTCTCTGGCAGGTTCTTACAAAACTAAACATACCTTCACCATATGATCCAGCAATTATACTCCTTGGTATTTACCCAAAAGAGCTGAAAACTTATGTCACATAAAAACCTGTACATAGATATTTATAGCAACATTATTCATAACTGCCAAAACTTAGAAGCAACCAAGATGTCCTTCAATAGATTAAGGGATAAACTGTGGTATATCCAGACACTGGAATTATTACAGAGTTAAAAAGACATGAGCGATCAAAGTATGAAAAGACATGGAGGAACCTTAATGCACATCACCAAGCAAAAGAAGCGAATCTCAAATGACTACATATATGATTCTAGAAAAGGCAAACCTATGGAGATGGTAAAAAGATCAGTGTTGCCAAAGATTAAAGAGGGAGGGAGGGATAACTAAGTAGAACACAGGAATTTTAGTGCAGTGAAAATACTGTGTGTGATATTATAATGGAGAATGTATGTTATGATACATGTCCAACACCGAGAGTGAACCCTATAGGACTATGATAATGATGTGTCTATGTAGGCCATCATTTATAACAAACGTATGACTCTGGTAGGAGACACTGATAATGCACAAGGGTTCTGAGTATATGGAATGTATCTATACCTTCTTCTCAATTTTGCTGTGAACCTAAAATTGCTCTAAAAAATTTAACTTAAAAAAAACTTTAAAGTAAACCCTAAAGCAGTGGTTCTCAACCTTCCTAATGTCACGCCCTTTAATACAGTTCCTGAGGTTCGCCACCCGTCACCCAGAGGTTGAGAACCGCTGCCCCAAAGTCTTCATTCTACCCTGTACCTTGATGTTTTCCTACATAGGAAAAACCTTCAACAAAGCCCCTGGGTAGCTGGTCTCTAAACATAAGAGTTGGCTCGGTGCCTGTGGCTCAAGCGGCTAAGGCGCCAGCCACATACACCTAAGGTGGCGGGTTTGAATCCCCAGCCCGGGCCCGCCAAACAACAATGACGGCTGCAACCAAAAAATGGCCAGGTGTTGTGGTGGGTGCCTGTGGTCCCAGCTACTTGGGAGGCTGAGGCAGGAGACTCGCTTGAGCCCAGGAGTTGGAGGTTGCTGTGAGCTGTGATGCCATGGCACTCTACCCAGGGGGATAGCTTGAGGCTCCGTCTCAAAAATAAAAAATAAAAAAATAAAAATAAATAAACATAAGAGTCTTTCTAGTTCCATTCAGCAAACAGCTTGCACTTTTCTTTATCCACATAACACAAGGATGGCCACGTTAATAATGGCACTAGCACCTGTTCCAGAAAAAAAAGTAGTATAACTGGATGAACAATACACACAGGAGACTTTGGCCAGAGCGGTCCAACATGGAGTTTGTGAAATGCTTCGATTTAAGCTGGTCTACAAATCCTGCATTATACACGAAAACACTTTTGAATGAAAACATAACTACAAGACGATACATTTTTCTCCTCAAACAAATGAAAATCACTGATTACCAAAAGTGCTTCACAAAGCAAGTACATAGGATACAGAAAGCCTCTAATAAGAAACATGGCACTCCCCCTTTCCAGAATAAGAAAATTGCAGCCAAATGAAGAGTTTTTTAAAAAATGTCTTTTCATTTGCAACCTTTTTTGAACCTGACACTTTCTTCAATTTCCTCATGGCAGCCCCAGGCCAACTATGCATTCTATTGCCCTAGATCGCTCCTCATTCTAGGCCCCCATTCTCTTCCTTCTCAAACATCGCTGCCCACTCACCACAGTGTTCCATTATAGGCTCTCCCCAGCAAAACCCCGTGCTGCCTGAAACATCAGCGTTCCTCTTCTGGTCCAGGTCTCCCGGTTACGCGACCACGGAAAACTGCTCCCTATCCAGCCCCAGCAGACAGGGCCTCCGACCCTCAGCCTGCGGAACTGCACCCACGCATCCCACCCAGTGCCCTCCGCCGCCGCCCTCTCGGCCCTTCCTTCGGCCAACTGCAGCACCCGGCGCTCGTACCCCGTTTGCTTCACTGGGCCTCCCCTCTCCCCACGCTGCACCTGTGGCCCCCGCCCGTCCTCCCCGCTTCCCCGGCACTATTAGGCCTCCCGGCCAAACCCCCCGGCGCCCTCCAGCCCAACCCAGCCCGGCCCACCCAGCCCGCTAGGCCCCAACAAAGGCCCGGAGGGCCCTGCTACCCTTCTCCTCACCGTGTCGACCCCAGACCCCGCGTCCCGGGAGCCCTCTGCTTCCTCGCCGCCCGTGGCCTCCAGCCCAGCATCGGAACGGCCCAGAGGCTCAAGGGGCGCGGGCGGCAGCTGCCGCTCAGGGTCCAGAGGTGCCTGCTCCATGGCTGCTGCTCGGCGCGACGGAGCCAGTGCGCCTGCGCTGCCGCGGCCGGCCCCGCCCCTCAGCCCGAGCAGGTCGGGTCCCGGCCCGGGTCAGCGGCTGCAGAGCAGACCTAGAGGCTCTGGGAGGAGCTGGAGCTAGGGGAAAGGTGGGTCTACAAGCGGACTGGTCAGCCCCTAATCACCTGGGAGAACTGGAGAGCGATCAGAGACAGAGAGAAAGGCAAGGGAAAAGTCAACGCCGGAAGTAGGTATAGGAACCATTCTGGTTGATCATCTCACGAAAATCTGAAACTCCAAAGAAATTGTAGACGTCCTCTCAGCCTCTACTTTGCTTGCTATGATTAGTTCCATTTTCTCCCAGAAACATCAGCGCTGCATAAATTATTTACTTTCAGCCGGGTGAGTAACACATTCAGCAAAACGTAACTCTTATTTTGAGGAAAGTGAAGAATCTGACTGAAGAGGGACTTGAATTCTTTGTAAATGTGTTGTGAAGCCCTGGAAATCTCTTATGATTTTCTACAAACATCTCTTGTTTAATTTTCTAAACCTTCTTCCTTGATGAGCTTTCACCATGGTAACCTGAGGAGAAATGCTCCATGCCTGTGACAGGCTGTGGCATCTTGAAGTATTTTCTTTCTATGCAAAGTCTAGTCTCGACTTTTCAGGACTAATACTGATCTTTTTGTCCAAACACTTACCTGTTCTAAGCTGTAACATACAATTTCCTCTTCCTGGAATGCTCTGGCCTGGCAGCAAATTTCTGTTCATTCCTAAAGCTCAACTCATTTACCATCTCCGAGTGCTAATATCTGGGCCTGCAGTGGCTCTTGCCTGTAATCCCAGGACTCTGGGAGACTAGGGTGGGTGGACTGCTTGAGCTCAGGAGTTCAGGACCAACCTGAGCAAGAGCTAGACCCCATCTCTAAAAATAGCCAGGTGGTGCCTACTCCTCAAGGAGTAGGGCGCCATATGCTGGAGGTGGTGGGTTCAAACCCAGCCCCAGCCAAAACTGCAAAAAAAAAAAAGCCAGGTGTTGTGGCAGGCAACTGTAGTCCCAGCTATTCAGGAGGCTGAGACAAGAGAATCGCTTGAGCCTAAGAGTTTGAGGTTGCAATGGCACTCTACCCAGGGCATCAAAGTGAGGCTCTGTCTCAAAAAAAAAAAAAAAGGGAAATGAACTACTGATAACACACAACATGTGTTAGACAGCAAAATAATTATGCAGAGTGAAATAAACTAGACCTCTTTAAAAAGATCACAATGGGTCACTGGTATACGTGGGTGAAGAAGGAGCAGGCCCTTGCTGTTCTGTCTCATACCCTTACATGGCTGGTAGTGGGCCTTCAGGGGCCACCTGAATGATGACTTGGATCCAGATGACAGGGAGGAGGGAACTGTTTCTATGGCTGAGGAAGCAGCCAAGAAAAAAGACAGAAGAAGAGTAAAGGGGCTGCTGCAGCAGGGCAACGCTATAGGAGTGGGCATGGTCCCCAACAGCAGCCACATACACTGGGGCTGGCCAGTTGGAACCCAGCCCAGGCCAGCTAAACAACAATGACAACTGCAACAAAAAATAGGCAGGCATTGTGGCAGGTACCTGTAGTCCCAGCTACTTGGGAGGCTGAGGCAAGAGAACCGCTTAAGCCCTAGAATTAGAGGTTGCTATGAACTGTGATGCCACTGCACTCTACTGAGGGTGACATAATGAGACTCTGTCTCAAAAAAAAAAAAAAATAGAAAAAAAACTGATAAAGAATAAGGAGCCTCAGTGGATGAAGTAGCAAGATAATTGATAACCATTGGAAGAAAAAGAAAAAGATGATGATGGACATGGTGATGGTGATGGGGCAACTGGAAATAAGAAAAAGAAAAGAGGACCAAAAGTTCAAACAGACCCTCCCTCAGTTCCAAAATGTGACTGTATCCTAATAGTGTTACTTACCAAAGGACATGAGTGGGAATGCCCACCCACACAAGATGGGTGAACAGCTGCTTGGAGAAATACAACTGAAGAAAAGAAAGCATTAGATCAGGCTAGTGACAAGATTTGGAAGGATTTTTGAGAAGCTACAGAAGCACACTGACAAGTTAGAAAATATGTTATGAGCTGGATCAAGCTTGGGATGACAATGATAGACATCTGTGGGCCGGATGCAGTGGCTCAAGCCTGTAATCCTAGTACTCTGGGAAGCTGAGGGGGCTGAAATGCTTGAGCTCAGGCATTAAAGACCAGCCTGAGCAAGAGTGAGACCCTCTGTCTACTAAAAATAGAAGAAACTAGCCTGGTGTTGTGGTGCATGCCTGTAGTTCCAGGTACTCGAAAGGCTAAGGCAAGAGAATTGGCTGACCCCAAGAATTTGAGGTTACTGTGAGCTATGATGCCAGAGCACTCTACCTAGGGTGACAGAGTGTGACTCTGTCGCAAATCAAACAAACAAACAAAAATCTGTGGAAAGTGGAAGCCTATTCACACAAATTGATAAAAGAGATGGATTAATAGATTAAATGCAAGGCTTGGCACCTGTGGCTCAAGTGGCTAAGGCACCAGCCACATACACCTAAGGTGGCAGGTTTGAATCCAGCCCAGGCCCAACAAACAACAGTGACGGCTGCAACCAAAAAAATAGCTGGGCGTTTTGGTGGGTGCCTGTGGTCCCACCTACTTGGGAGGCTGAGGCAGAAGACTCGCTTGAGCCCAGGAGTTGGAGGCTGTTGTGAGCTGTGATGCCATGGTACTCTACCCAGGGGGACAGCTTGAGGCTCTGTCTCAAAAAAAAAAAAAAAAAAAACAGATTAAATGCAAGTCTGACATTTCCTACTGCATGTTTTCTTAATAATTGTGCTGCCTAGTATATTCTCAATACTAATGGCACTGGGCAGTGTCTGTGGCTCAAAGGAGTAGGACGCCGGCCCCATATGCTGAAGGTGGCTGGTTCAAACCCAGCCCCAGCCAAAAACTGCAAAAAAGACCCTAATGACACAATAGTAATACAGTATGATGATATCTGTGAGATGATTTTGGAACATATAATTGATAGGATTGACTATGCTTTTACTGTCACTTTTAATCACAATATGCTATATTGGTAAAAGCTGTGAAAGAGGCTCGGTGCCTGTGGCTCAGGTGGCTAAGGCGCCAGCCACATACACCTAAGGTGGCAGGTTTGAATCCAGCCCGGACCTGGCAAACAATAATGACAGCTGCAACCAAAAAATAGCCAGGCGTTGTGGCAGGCGCCTGTGGTCCCAGCTCCTTGGGAGGCTGAGGCAGGAGACTCACTTGAGCCCAGGAGGTTGCTGTGAGCCGTGATGTCATAGCACTCTACCCAGGGGACAGCTTGAGGCTCTGTCTCAAAAAAAAAGCTGTGAAAGATACTATTAATACTGGAACAAAGTGTGCTGGAATTGATGTTTGTCTATGTGATGTTGGTGAGGCCATCCAAGAAGTTATGGAATACTATGAAGTTGAAGTGGATGGGAAGAGATATCAAGTGAAACCAATCTGTAATCTAAATGGACATTCAATTGGGCAATATAGAACACATGCTGGGAAAACAGCGCAGATTGAGAAAGGAGGAAAGGCAACAAGATTGGAGGAAGGAGAAGTATTTGTAATTAAAACCCTTGGTAGTGCAGGAAAAGGTGTTGCTCACGATGATATGGAATGTTCACAGTACATGAAAAATTTTGATGTTGGACATGTCCCGGTAAGGCTTCCAACAACAAAACACTTGTTAATGTCATCAATGAAAACTTTGGCTTCCTTGACTTCTGTGACAAATGGCTGGCTCACTGGGGAGAAAGCAAATACTTGATGGCTCTGAAGAACCTGTGTGACTTGGGCATTGTAGATCCACATCCACCATTATATGACCTTAAAGCAGTGGTTCTCAACCTGTGGGTCATGACCCACAGGAACTGTATTAAAGAGCCACAGCATTAGGAAGATCGGGAACCACTGCCAGGATCACATACAATCCAATCTGAACATACCGTGCTGTTACATTCGACATGGAAAGAAGTTGTCAGCAGAGGTGACTATTAAAACTTAGTCTAAAACAACATATTTCTAAGCTTTGTTAGAACATATTATACCAGAAATAATTTGCAACATGTTGTCTGTCATAACAGTGGACATACCTAATACTTTTTATCCATGTTAAAAAACAAAGTATTTGATCAAAGGCAGACCATAATGTAATTAACCAAGGAAAAAGCCTTCAGGACTCTTTTGCGGGGGCGAGGGGAGTCTCACTTTGTTGCCCTCAGTAGAGTGCCATAGCATCACAGCTCACAGCAACCTCAAACTCTTGGGCTCAAGTGAATCTCTTGCCTCAGCCTTCTGAGTAGCTGGGACTACAGGCACCAGCCACAATGCCTGGCTATTTTTTTTGTTGTAGTCGTTGTTTGGCAGGCCTGGGCCGGGTTCAAACCCACCAGCCCCAGTATTATGTGGTCAGCGCCCAAGCTGCTGAGCTATAGGCACCGAGCCTGCCCTGCCATTTTTAGAGACAGGGTCTCACTCTTGCTCAGGCTGGTCTGAAATCTGTGAGCTCAAGCAATCCACCCACCTTGGCCTCCCAGAGTGAGTGCTAGGATTATAGGTGTGAGCCACCGTGCCCAGTCCCTATATATATATAATTTTTTTTTTTTTTTTGCAGTTTTTGCCTGGGGCTGGGCTTAAACCCACCACCTCCAGCATATGGGGTCAGCGCCCTTCTCCTTTGAGCCACAGGCACTGCCCCCCAGATACTTTTTTAAAGATGAGGTCTCACTCTGGCTCAGGCTGGTCTTGAACTTGGAGCTCAGACAATATACCCACCTTGGCCTCCCAAGTGCTAGGATTACATGCATGAGGCACCACATCTGGCCAGGACTTTTTTCTTTTTTTAAAATTTTTTATTTTTATTATTTTTTGCCATTTTTGGCCAGGGCTGGGTTTGAATCCGCCACCTCTGGCATATGGGATCGGCGCCCTACCCTTTTGAGCCACAGGCACTGCCCTGACCAGGACTTTTCAAATGTTAACTATTTATGCCCTTCTGTCTCGGAAATGCTATAAAGCTCAAATTAGTTAGGAATGACTTAAGCATTTTGTTTTGGACACTTGAGAGATATTTTTGGATCTTTATATCATGATTTTTTTTTTTTTTTTTTGACACAGAATCTCAAGCTGTCATCCTGGGTAGAGGGCCATGGCATCATCACAGCTCATAGCAACCTCAAACTCTTGGGCTTAAGTGATTCTTCTTGCCTCAGCCTCCCAAGTAGCTAGGACTACAGATGCCCACCACAACTGGCTATTTTGTTGTTGTTGCAGTTGTCATTGTTGTTTAGCAGGCCCAGGCCGAGTTCAAAACTGCCAACTTTGGTGTATGTGGCTAGTGCCCTATGCACTGAACTACAGGTGCCACCTATTATTGCAATATTCTTACTTGAATGATTTTTATAACTACATGCAGTTCTGTGCCTATGCCCTCTGGTATGGCCTTTTAACCTTCCTGATATCTATTTTCTAAAAAAATAAAGACAGTTTCAGTTATGAAAACAAAACCAAAAACCAAAACAAAAAAGACAGCACTATTAGATTCCATTTATATAAGATTCTAGAAAATGCAAACTAATCTATCTGACCTAAAACAGTTTAGGGGTATAGTGGGCTGACTGCCAGTGACCTTTAAGGCTGGGCACAGTAGCTCATATTTGTAATCCTAGCACTCTGGGAGGCCCAGGTGGGTGGATTGAGCTCAGGAGTTTGAGACCAGCCTGAGCAAGAGTGAGACCCCATCTCTAAAAATAGCTGGATGTTATGGTGCATACTTATAGTCCCAGCTACTTGGAAGGCTGAGGCAAGTGAATCACTTGAGCCCAAGAGTTTGAGGCTGCTGTGAGCTGTGATGAGGTAACAGTCTACCCAGGGTAACAAAGTGAGACTCTGTTCCAATAAAGAAAAAAAAGATATGTCCATATCCCAGGCGGGCCTTAAATCCAAAGACACTCTTGTAAGTATTCTTATAAGAGGAAGGCAGAGGGAGATTTGAGATAGGAGAGGAGAAGACCCAGAGAAAAGGAGGCAATGCCAACACAGAGGCAGAGAATTAAGTGTCTGGACACAAGTCAAAATATGTCAAAAGACATTAGAACCTGAAAGAGGCAAAAAAATGGATTCTCCCCTAGAGCCTACAGGGGGAGTTTGACCCTGCTGACATCCAGATTTCAGACTTCTGGCCTCCAAAACTGCGAGAGAATATATTTTTGTTGTCTTAAGCTACTACATATGCTAATAGTGGCTTCCTGAAAATGAGACTCAGTGGAGAGAGGGGACAGGTGGGAAGGGAGAGATTATAAAGGGGGAGGGGTAGGCTCAGCCCCCATGGCTCAATGGGTAGGGCGCCGGTCACATACACTGAGGCTGATGGGTTTAAGCCTGGCCTGGGCCTGCTAAACAACAATGACAACTGCAATAAAGAAAATAGCCAGGAGCTGTGGTGGGCACCTATAGTCCCAGCTACTTGGGAGGCTGAGGCAAGAGAATTGCTTAAGCCCAAAGAGTTTGAGGTTGCTGTGAGCTGTGATGCCACAGCAGTCTACTGAGGGCAACATAATGAGACTCTGTCTTACAAAAACATAAAATTTAAAAAGAAAAAGGGGCAGGGATAAATTGTTGAGGAGAATAAATACTTTCATTTATCATGATTGTGGATACTTCATGGGTAAAGATGCCAAAATTTATTAAACTGTAATAGGCCAGGTGTGGTGGCTCACACCTGTAATCCTAGCACTCTGGGAGGCTGAGGTGGGTAGATCAATGGAGCTTAGAAGTTCAAGACCAGCCTGACCAAGAGCAAGACCCTGTCTCTACCAAAAATAGAAAACTCAGCTGGGTATTGTGCAGGGTACCTATAGTCCCAGCCCAGGAGGTTGAGGTTACTATGAGCTATGACGCCATTGCACTATAGACTGGGCAACAGAGTGAGACTCTGTCTCAAAAAAAAAAAAAAATCCCAATCTATAAAGCCGTTAAAAAGGAAAAAGACATAAATGAGTTTAAATAAGACCCACCCGCACTATTATGAACTTTTCCAAGTAGTCCACATAACACTGGCACATAGTACATTAGAAGACTGACTACAAAAATGAAACTCCATCAAATGAAGAATAGCTGTATAAACTCAAAATATTAAAACTAGAGGAAATAGCATTTAAAAACTTAAAGCATTGTCATGTGCAAGAAAAATTATTCTCACCTTTTATGAACTCAGTGAGAACTGAGACCAATGATATAATACACTTGGAGCATTTCAAATCCAAAAATCTGAAATTTGAAATGTTCCCAAACTGGAAACTTTTTGAGCACCAACGTGGCGCTCAAAGATAATGCTCATTGGAATATTTGGGATTTCAGACTTTCTTTTTTTTTTTTTTTAGACAGAGCCTCAAGCTGTCCCCCTGGGTAGAGTGCTACGGCTTCACTGCTCACAGCAACCTCCAACTCCTGGGCTTGAGCGAGTCTCCTGCCTCCACCTCCCAAGTAGCTGGGACCACAGGCGCCCGCCACAACGCCCGGCTATTTTTTGGTTGCAGTCATTATTGTTGTTTGGCGCGTCCGGGCTGGATTCGAACCTGCCACCTTAGGTGTATGTGGCTGGCACCTTAGCCACTTGAGCCACAGGCGCCAAGCCGATTTCAGACTTTCAAATTTGATACTTAACCTGTATGATTAAGGCAAATATTCCAAAATTCAAAAAATTCTGAAATATTTCCGGTCCCAAGCATTTTAGACAAGGAATATTCAACCTATAGTAAGATTTTGATTCCAAGAACTTTTAAACATTAGTACTGTCCACAGATAAGATAGCTGTTATAGCAGCAAGGTCATGGGAGACTATTTGTCAATATTACAGAATGGATTCCTTTCTTCGTCTCTTTCCTTTGTTGGATCCTGTTTTTCTTTTCCTTTCTTTCTTTTTTTTTTTTTTTTGGCAGTTTTTGGCGGGGGCTGGGTTTGAACCCACCACCTCCAGCATATGCAGCCAGCGCCCTACCCTTTGAGCCACAGGCACCACCAGATCCTGTTTTTCTTAACTTCATACATACCTTTCCAATTCTTGCTTTCCATCCCCTCTGCTTTACATTTTCTGGAGCGTGTACTTTAACAGCTTTCAAAAAAAAAATACTGAGATAAATTTTAAACAATTTTGCACATTATGATTTGTTGTTTGGCTAGATAAAATTCAGGGCAAACTTGGAGGTATTGCTCTTTTGCCTATTAGCTTTCAGTTACATTACTGAGAAGAGTGAAATCATTCTGTTTTTAGAATCTTCTCTTTATCTTTAGTGTTATGAAATTTCACAATGGCATGTTTTGATTTGGGCTCTTATTTTTCCGTACTGTGCTTATGGTACTTTCTATAGGATTCATGTCATTCAGTTCTGGGAAATTGTATTTGTTGTTTTTCTCTTCTTTTCTTTTCTTTTTTTGGGACAGAGCCTCAAGCTGTCACCCCTGGGTAGAGTGTTGTAGCAGCACAGCTTACAGCAACGTCCAACTCCTGGGCTCAAGCAAGTCTCCTGCCTCAGCCTCCCAAGTCGCTGGGACCACAGGCGCCCGCCACATAGCCCGGCTATTCTTTGGTTGCAGCCGTCATTGTTTGGCCAGCCCGGGCTGGATTCGAACCTGCCACCTTAGGTGTATGTGGCTGGTGCCTTAGCCACTTGAGCCACAGGCGCCAAGCCATTTGTTGTTTTTCAAATGTCTTCCCATCTATTGTTTCTCTCTTCCTAGAATCCTCTATAGCTTTATATAAGTTAAATTTCCTGGATTGCTCTAATTTTTGTATCATTTCATTCCTACTTTTCATCTTTTGTCATTTTGTTCTACTTCCTGAGAGCTTTTCTTACTTATTTTCAGATATGAGTCTGACCCTTCCTGGGTAAATCATGAACCTGACCCTGCCTGGACAGGGCAGTCTATTTGGGCAGGCACAACTGATTCTATCACAACTTCAAACTCTTGGGCTTAAGAGATCCTCTTGCTTCCAAAGTATCTGGGACTATAGGCACCCACCACTAAAAACTCTTACTAAATTTACTTTGTAAGCTAAAGACTGCTGAAGATGAAGATTTAAAGAGAAAATTATTGACCCTCCCAAGTGAACAGAGCTATAACTCTGATTATAAACTTTGTATTTCGCTTCATCATGAAACAGACAAAAGTATCATTATTCTCTAGTTTTATTATTTTTTAATTTTCCCAACACATGAACTATAACTTGTTTCGAAAATTTTCAGTGCATTTCACAGCAAAAATGAACAAGGTAATCATTAAAATGGTTGTACACAAACCAACTTTTTCTTATAATTTACAATTTGTTGAAAAAATTATTGTTTTGCTGTTTTCACCCTATTAACCTCTCTCACAGAACACAATTTCTCAGAGCACAAAGTTTAAACTTCTTATGATGATGCAACAGACACAGCCATCTACACTGACTGATGAAGAACAGGTTATGTTACTTACACACACTGATTGGAAGACCATATTGGAAGAAATAGAGTAAGGCACCACTCTTGGAAAATTAAGGTAGCTTGTAGTAACAAGTGTTAAGCACCATATGTAGGTGCTCAATAAATACTTGAATGAATGATGAAAGTCATAATTAGCACTATTCTTTTAATTGCCAGCAATTCTTCAACCTCAATAAAATATTTATTTAAAAAAAGATTTGTACCTGAATACAACTTCCTGATATCTTATTTCATACTCTTTCTTCAGCATTTAAGTTTCCTTGAAAAGAAAAGAAAACCATACCTTACATGCACTCAGTTATATAACTTCTGAATTACTGACAAATAGGAATAGTCATTTGTTTTTTGAGTGAACAGAGGTAAGATAAAGCATATTTATCCAGAGGGATAGCATATAATACTGAATTTAACCTAGAAGTGAAAAAAGATAAGGAAAAAAGTAACAGTTTTATTTCTTAATATTTGCTATTTTCTTAATGCCTTAGTTCTTGAGAAAGGCCAAAATCTCATCATATTGACATGAATACATTTTAAAAAATTGTTCCTCAAGTGTAATATTTAATAAAACTAGGTACTGAAAAATGTTCTGAAATTTTTCAAGTCAATGTTGTTTTCAAGTATATTAAAATGCTCAGAAGAAAAAATTCTCCATGGTTATAATTCTAATCAATTTATAAATATACTTTTTAAAAGAGAGTTCCAACAGAGGTGGATAATGGATAAGTTCCTCAGACATAGGCACAAAGTCTTTTGAAGAAATAGAATGCCTTGTTACCACAACCTGGCTGATTTTTATCTTTTAACACTGATTTCAGGCACAATGGCTGAATCCACTTCTGGGTCATCTTGTTCCTCCTCTTGGTTGGTTTATAAGAGCAGTAAATACTTCAGTTATAGACAGAAAGCAAAACACAAACTCTGAAACAGAGACTTCACTTTTCACTATAAAGAAATCAATGTCACTGAGTTGTGTATTATCTGCTGCTCCTGTGCAAAAATAGGGGATTCGAACTTAGCTTTAGGAGCAAGAACTAGATAGAAGAGTAATCATCTAATAATTCAGATAAAAGATGTTAAGATGGTATTGCTCACATCTTCTGAACAGTTTGGTGAGAGGTCCATCGTGTTTCTTTAACACTTTGGTCTTGCTGCAGTATTACGGTGCCCTAGTAGGTACATTCATGTTTAGCTAGTTTCAGTCTGCGCAATCAGGAAGCAGGTCACTCAGTGCAATGACTCCATTCTGGGAGGATTTAGGGTAAACAGTGAAAAACCTCATTTGGTTGAGTCTCAGATAGCATGTGTCACTCTGCTGGTTGTGTTGTTGGAATTAGTTTCCAGAGGGGTTTGTGATAAATCCAGCCGTCTCCCTGAAACAAGCAGAAAAATTAAAGAACTGTCATTCTAATATAGCATTTTCAAAATCAGATACAATACTTTCACTTAAATGGAACTCTACTTTCACATTTTAAAAAAGAGTTTTTGTGAAGAAATAGTCTCCTGTGCTTAAAACATCATACAATGCTTGTGTTTAGCTAGGATTAGGTAATGGTATAGGAGGACCTGGTTTCTGACTCACGAGCATTTTATTTTGCAGAAGTCATTTGAAACAATTCTGCCAAGATGCTACAGACTGAGTCTCACTCATGGAGTTAAGGGAAACAGGGAATCACCAAGAAATGGTCATGAAGGTACTAGCTGTTCTCCCTATCTCTAATGGGGCCTCTAGTATCTAAGTGCTGTTTTGGTTCTTTCCAGACTCTACCACCATTAGTTTTCTCTGATTCCTATAAACAGTATGCTGCAAGGAGACAAAGCAACAGTCAAAGCGTGAACCAAAGACAGAAGAGCACAGTAAAGAAAAAAAATACTGTGGGGCAAATGTACAAAGCAGCATCCTGGGTGGGAACTTGGCAGTTAAGGTCAGGGGAGCAAAGACAAGAGGTCATTTTATGGGACTTTCAAAGTAAGTCAGACTTGAACTTCTGTCATTAACTCCCATGCCTCTTCCAATTTTTTGGGGGGGGTGGTGGTCAGAGTCTCAAACTGTCACCCTGAGTAGAGTGCCATAGCATCTTAGCTCAACCTCTAACTTTTGGGGCTCAAGTGATCCTCTTGCCTCAGTTTTTCTATTGTAGTAGAGATGGAGGTGTCACTTTTGTGCAGGCTGGTCTTGAACTTGTGAACGCAAGTAATCCACCTGCCTCAGCCTCCCAGAGTGCTAGGATTATAGGCATGAGCCACTGTGTCCTGCCTCTATTTATTTATATTTAAAATGTATTT